TTATATTATACTTTAAATTAAATCTTTTTATTTTTCTGTAATGTTTTATTTTAAATAGTTTTTTCCACAAAATATTTTTTGTTTTAAATTTTTAATTTTTCTGTTAAACGCAGTTTTCAACTTTTTTTAAATACCATGTTGTTTGTGATTTAAGTACTCTGCATCCACATCACACACACCAATATATATATATATATATATATATATGACAATGGGCATTTATTAAAACTTCTAATTTATACATTTTTATTTTTGAACTTTATAATCATTTTTTCCCTTTTTTAAAAAAAAAATTCAGCAATAAAGCTACTCCCATTGGATGCACTAACCTAATCTAAAAAGGAAAACCTCATGTGAATATCACTTCATAGTTATATTTTACATCAGAATTCATTTATCATTAACAAATTCATGAAAAAAAATACAAAATTACTTCGAACGAACATGAAACATAACTTGTATCTAGTTTCATTAAGAAATATATATATATATTTATTGACTTCTGTATTTTTCTCAATTTCTTTGCGTAATTTCCCCACATTTGTTCAGCTTGAAGGGAATAGTTGCACCTACGAAGTATTCATAGGGTAGGTGATAATAAGGAGAGTTTGAATCGCCATCACAAAGTGGACAGACTGCACAGTGGACGGAACGAGGATTGATAGACGGGTTTGGTTCTTCTTGGTGGCATGCAAAAGTTGTCCACGACCATCATTACAACACTCTAAACTCTCTTTCCACAAAACCACAAATCAAACAATTCACACTAAAGTTTTCATTATGCAGATTCTTACTTTCAAATATTGCAATAATCTTACTGTTCATGACTTCACCGTCAACCAACAGTCCAAATCTCACATACACGTTCATGGCTGTGAGAATGTTACGTTTTCTCGTATCAATGTCACTGCTCCTGCTGACAAGCCCTAACACCGATGTGATTGACGTTACTTTTTTCCAAAACGTCTTGATTCAGGATTCCTCTATGCAAACTGGTAAACCAAAGTTTAAGGTTTTCTTCTCATGAAAATATCATTTTCAATGTAGTGTTTTGAAATTTTAACTTGCATTGTCTTTCCAAACAGGTGATGATTGTATTGCCATTAGTGGTGGCTCCTCTTTAGTCAATGTTACTGGGATTGCTTGTGGACCAGGCCATGGAATAAGGTTTTCTATTTATATATCCTCAACTGGTTGATATTGTATATTTTTTTATCTTTATTTATTTAGCAATGTAACTTTAACATGAATGAATAAATCAGCCATTGGTAGCCTAGGAAAAAGGAATGACACAGTGGAAGGAGTACATGTACGAAATTGTAGCTTGACAAAAACTAAATATGGAGCAAGAATCAAAACGTTTCCGGTAAGTAATATTAGGGTTCAAACATTTTTCACCAACAACTATTTTACCACCTTAAGTATATATTTTCTATCATTTCCTTCAACTAAAATATGCAAGCATAATATATTATAAAAATTTAAATATTTGACTTAATACAATATTTATAAAAAAGTTATTTAATGTTTTTTTATTTAATGTGGTTTCAATAATAATTAGAAAAAGTCTATGTATGTTTGACTCATTGTCCATTTTTTTGCAGGTTGGAATTGGTTGTGCAAAGCAAATCACTTTTGAGGAAATAACGTTGGTAGAAACCCGTTACCCAATATTTATTGATAAAAACTATGGCAGTTATCCTTCAACGGTATTCACTTAATTATTCAACTTCTTTCTTTTTTAATTTTTTTTCTTTTTATATAAAAAAAGTTGTTTATTATTAAAGTTGGATTTTGAATTGTATACAAAACAGGATGAAGAAGTAGAAGTGAGTGGGGTGACATTCAGAGGGTTTTCAAGGAACATCCTTTGATGGCAAAGCTATACCTTAGACTGTGGACAATCAGGTTGCTACAACATCGTATTGGATCAAATAGACATTGTTTCTTTCTACCAGCAAAGCCAGCCTGTTTGTTCTTGCAATAATGCCCATGAACGTTACATCTACTGTTTCCAATTGTTTCTTTGTTTATTGCCATGAATTTCTTTTCTTTGTGTAAAAAGTTAAATGAGCGCAATTGGTTCAATAAATATTAATTAATGCAAACAATTAATATGCATTGTTCTTTTGGTTAATTATTTTTATTTTCTACGGTTTTTTAATTAGATAAATTCTGACATGGGTTTTATCTATAGGAAATGTTTGTTTTGAATAACGTTTTGATTTATATTTTTTATTCGACATATTACGTGTTCCAACATATTAAAATATTTTTTTTTACCGATGTGAGACTATTGAACACCAAAACAAGTCTTTCAATTTAGGGGTTAATAATTTTTTTCCCTGTAGACTAGTTAATGTCACTATATTAGAAAATGATTTTGACGATGGTTAAAGAGTCTTTCTATTACGGTTTTCAAACAATCATTAAATGCAACATCGTGAAAAGTTTACCTAAAACCAATACCATCACTAAATTGTTGTTATATTTTCGAATGACGACGAGTTCTAAATGCCATCGTTATAGTTAATATAGATGAAAAAAAAATCACAAAGATATATAACAATTGGCATCACAACTGTTGTTAAAAATGAATGAATTGGCACCACAACCATCGTTGAAAATGTTTTTTTTTCTCTTTTAAATATAGACATTGCTACAAAAATAGCATACAACGTTAAATATTTTTGACTTTTAACAATGTATTCGCGTTCGACGTCATATCGCGAGACGTAATTTTGACGTCGAACACCTACAGCTCGACGTTATGCCTTTATATCCACGTTTACTCTATAGAGTTCGACGTTTAATATATGAATAACTAGTTATATTTAAGGGAAAATTTGACGTCAAATGCAAGGGGAGAGACATAAAGTTGACGTCAAGGACTAAGATGTATGACGTAAAGTTGACGTCCATTTACATAGGTCGACGTTACTTGTTGCTTATAGACATGTCGGATATTAAAGTGCATGACGTTTAATATTTGAATAAATATTTATACTTATAGCAAAATTTGGCGTCAATTGGAATGGAACGATGTAAAGCTGACGTAACTTGAACGTCGAAGTTAGCCGAACGACGTCATGTTTTGTTGATATACACGTCAAGTACTAGAGAATGGACGTCTAATATTTGAATAAATATTTATTTTTATTCAAATATAAATATTTGAATCCAGTTTTCCATTCATCTATTCACAGTATTCATCTATTCACAGTTTAAATGTGATTTTTTGTGAAACTTATTCTACCACTCAATATGCTTTGTCCACTAAAAGCACTAAAATAATAACATTTAATGATAGAAAACATGACATTGTATATTCAAGATCATTTGAATTGTGATGTTGCGGCGTTGGGAAAACATCTCACCTCTACTATTACATTATTGTGAGAAGAATGATGTATATAAGAAATATGGAGTATAGGAATGTTTAAGTTGCAATGTCTATTTTTCATTTCCACTGCCCATGGTTGACTCTTAAATATGTTATGCCAGGCAAATCCATCGTAGCAATAAGTTAATTGTGGTACTCTTCACCATACTTAGCTAAGTGTAAGCAACCGGCGTCAACATTATACATTTTTAGATATGTTTTAAATATAAAACATACGAGTTTTAAGAGTAGAAAGTTGAAAAAAAGGGTCGATTTCTGTTAAGATGAGTTTTCTTTCCTAATAATTCAATTGAGGGTCAAAAGAAAAAGAATGGTATGTGTTATTATGGGTTCATAGCCGACCGAACGGTAAAAGTGCAGAAGAGTCAGCCCGACCGATGATACCTCTCAGGTCAATGAACCGATCGGTAAAATCAGTCTGACCGATGATACATCTTAGGTCAATGAACTGATCGGTAAAATCAGCCCGACTGATGATACCTCTCAGGTCAGTGAACCGATCGGTTAAGTCAGCCATTAAGGTAATTAATAGTAATAACTGTCGGGAGTTAATGAAAATAATTGTTATTTATTGACAATTAATATTGTCATTCATTGGTGGTTAATGAGTCAGACCTAACGGTCAGCTCATTATAATTTATAAATATTTGTCTGGCAAAGGGTACAGGTAACTTGAACTTGAACTGAGACTCAGAGGTCTGATAACAAAATCTTGATTACAAGATTATTACACAAAGTCACTGAATTGAGCGTGGGAGTGTCTTTTGCAGACACCCTCTCTCGCGGCTCGGACAAGGAGAAGAGTGAAGACATCATAATTGGAAATCGAGCAGACAACTTTGGATGTTTTGGATTAGGGTTCTAAATCCTCCTAAAACAGTATGATCAGAGAAACCTGTTTTTCAAATTTCAACACTAACGTCGTGTAAGCTCATTCCATTTTATTTCTAAGTAATATATTAAAAAAAATGAACAATCATCCACTTAACGGGGAATCATTGGTTGTCAGGTTTTTTTTACAAGGAACACGTATTTAACTTTAAGAATTGCTCTGAAGTCTATTATTACTGCTTGGTTATTTATTCTATCTAATATTTATTGATAGTAGTACCTTTTAAAAAGATTTTCTAACAGAAATATTGATTTTAAAAAGGTTAATATAGTTTGTATTTCTTCTTTTCCTTTCTTTTTATTTGTACATAAAATATCTCGTTTATTTTGTTTAATTTTTCATCTATTTTTTATGTAATCCATTGTATTTTATGTAATTCGTGAAACATTTTAAGCAGAAAATAGTACGCACAGGGTATCCCGGACTGTTTTTTAACCATAACTCTGTTTCTTAAATATAAACATTCTTCAAAGGAAAACAGCGATAATACGACCTTAAAAAGACAAAAAATTGATGTGAGAAGAAAATGGTGTATTCGATATTAAAATATTTGCACTAAATAAGAGTGAAATGTTTCAAAGATAGTGAGGAGAACCTGAGGAAGCAGACGACAAATGTAGGCATATGAGAACTGGTGCATTGGTATACTTGTCTTTCCACTTATATCTTTTGTACTTAGTAATCATCAATCGATATGGATTTAATGTGAGCAATCTTTTCCCAATCTTCACTTTCTTGTTTCTGGCACCGCTGTTTGAGCAATAAACAATCACAAATTGCGAGGTCTGAAATGGATTTTGGTAGACCCTCCTCTGGCAAGCATTGGAGTACAGGACAGTTACGAAGAATCAATATCCGAAGAGAGGAGAGGTGACAGAGACCCCTGTAGTCCAGTTTCTTAAGATTTGGACAATCATATATTTCTAGACGACCAAGAGAAAGTGGGAGCAAACCTTCACCCGGAAAACACTCCAAATCCACCTTGCCAATTCTCAAGACTATTAAGGAAGGGTTGGTTCCCCAAGCGCCCTTTAGGGAGGCCAGAACTTTGGAGCAATTCTCGACAAACATTTCTTTTACATTTGATGGCAAACATTCCTCGGACAACTCCAGCGCTGGACAATTGCTTATGTACAGATTATTAAGAGATGGAAGAAGGGCAGACATGCATTTAGGCATTGACTTCAATTTCTCCAATCCTGCAATAATCAATGACACTAGCTGAGGTGCAAATAATCCTTCATTGGGAAATGATTCAAATTCAGAGCATTGATCAATGAACAAATTCTCCAAACGATTGTGAGGGTGCCCCTGCGATATCATCTGTAGATTGCGACACCCGGATAAACAAAGGTCGCGGAGTTTTGGGAACAAATCTAAAGGAAAGGTAGTGAGAGAGTCACAATCATCTCTGATACGCAATTCTACAAGGGAATGGTACCAATTGCTAATGGGAATACTGATGCCTGGACCAAAAGAAAAAGGCAAGTATTCAAGGGTATCAAATATGTTTGGCCTCGTATTCACACATTGAATCTCGACGGCCCTGGTGATCGGAGCCCCAAGTTGGCCGCATTCGTGTATAATAAATTTCTTTAAATGACAAAGTATGTTTGGCAATTCTTTCAGCTTGGGACAATTCGCCAGAAAAAGACTTTTAAGACTTGGAAAAGCACCCGTCACGCACTGCCATTCTTCCCATTCCTTCATATCAATAAAGCTCAACCTTTTCAAGGATGCAAATGCAGAAGAGCTATCCCCGTAGAAATCAGCATCTATCCTTCCTATCCAATCAAGGCCATCAATTCTCAAGTTCTTCAGAAATGTCAAAAGTCCAAGGCAAGGCAACCATAGGCAATGTTTACAGTTATTCAAGGTTAAGGACACCACATTCGATAGAGAATTATTGGATAACCAACGGGGAAATTGTGTGCCACCATAGCCATCGATTGATAAGTGCTTCAAATGTATGGAAGGTTGCAGATTCTCAAGTACTTCTCTTTCTTTTACCGAATCGTCATTGTTCCGCGCTAAATTCCATTGTAAGCTCAGCGTCACAATATGTGTTTCATTCTTCAAATTCGTCTCATACGGATTTGAGATATTTTCAAGATTTTGAATTGACAGCTGCTCTCCATGAAAATGAAGTTCTCCTAACTGTTGAATACTGAACTCACTACTTTTTCCAACCGCAAAATTGTTTATCCACACGTGAAGATTCTTCAACTTTCCTAAACCGATTGGACCCTTCGTTAAAGTAGTTCCCATAAGTTCTAGGCGGCGCAAATTGGTAAGCTCATGCAAAGTCAAGGGCAGCTCCTTCAATTTGAAACAATTATTTAGTTTCAATTCTTGCAAGTTATAGAGTGAACAGATTGAGTCAGGAAGTCTGCGTATGGCGCTACCCGAAAAATCCAACGAACGGAGATGTATAAGATCGCCTATTGTGTCAGGCACCTCAAAACACAACCTCAATGATAAGACCCGTATGAACTTAAAGTTGGGGATTAACTCTTCTATTGGCAGCTCACGACGCCACCCAAAAGTTATAAATGTTCGTAACCGTGTAGCATCACGTAAACTCGTATAATCTTGAATAGGATCGCTTACATATGATATATGACGGGTTTTCCTTGATACTCCTTTTTCACCATCAACACCTAACCTGTAGCAGATTTCACCTGAAACATATTTTGCTAAATCATTCAGAAGGTCGTGCATGACAAAATATATTTCCTTGTCCCAAGTTATTTGTTTAAAGAATGACCTTGATACTAGATCATTGAAGTAGTCTTCACCTACTTCTTCTGGAGACTTGCTTTGTTGAGAGCAATGTAGAAAATTTTGAGCCATCCATAACAAAATTAAGCTCTCTTTGTCAAACCTATGGTCTTTGGGGAATAATGCACAATAAGCAAAACATCTCTTGAGATGAGAAGGAAGATGGTAATAGCTCAACAACAAAGTAGGGACGATTTTACTATCTTCTATTGTTAAGTCCCATATCTCGCTTGTCAATACACCTTCCCACTCTGAAACGGATGACTTTGACTGTAAAACACATCCTATTGTTTCAAGGGCCAGAGGTAATCCTTGGCACTTTTCAACTATCTTCATGCCAATCTCCTTTAACTCAGAATTCAACTTAGAGTTTTCATCTTGGAATGCATGTTTAGCAAAAGTTTGCCAGCTGTGATCTTCATCTAATTGCTTTAGTTGGAGTATGTAGGTTGACTGCATGATAGAAGCAACTTTGTGACTGCGTGTTGTGACTAGAATTTTACTTCCTTTAGCTCCAAACGTAAGAGGAGTTTGTAATGCTTTCCATTGGTTTCGGTCTTCGTTCCAAACATCATCCAGAACAAGAAGAAACTTCTTTCCAAACAACCTTGTTTTCAATTTTCCATGAACCATTTCTAGGTCTCCACTGTCATCTCTTGAGTTAGTGAAAGATCCAATAATTGCTTTGGATACTCTCAAAGCATCAAATGCATCAGAAACGCAAACCCAAGCTTTTTCTTCAAATTTAGCTTCCTCTGTCTTTGGATCATTGTATACATGTTGAGCAAGTGTGGTCTTACCCATCCCACCCATACCCACAATAGAAAGTATAGACAGCTTATTATCATTAGTGTCAGATCTCAGCCAAGTAAAGATAATTTCTTTGTCCTCATTTCTGCCATAAATAACCTCTTCAGCCACCAACGACGTTGACTCAACTTTTTTCTCCGCCACCTTATTACCCAACCCAGATCTAACGCCACTATAAATTTTGTAATCTTTAACAATCTTTTGGTTCAAAAGAGATTCTAGATCATCAAGGAGTGCTATGATCTTGGATTCAAAATTGTGTACCTTGCTAGAGCTGGTTTGGAATTCAGCTTCCAATTTTGTCTTGGAGAATTCATAGTCTATTTGCTCTAGCAGATCCTCTGCATCATACAAGACGTCTCTAACCTCATCAAGCCATTCTTTGACCAATGAATTAGTGAACTGCTTTTGTTCTGCATCATCTATCACAGAATTGACGTCCATCAGCTTCCTCTTTAACTTTTTCAGTAGCTTCTCATCAAGATTTCTCCCACGAAAGAAGCCGAGAACTTGATGAGAATCGAGCTTGTCAAATAGCACCTGAAGAACAGCACCAAAAAGAGCACCACCAAGTGTTTCAAGGACAGGCATGGTTGGGAAGGAAGTGGCCAAATTGAGGAGAAGAAAGGATTGAGAAAATTGGAAGTGCAGCTAAGTTACGTGAATGAAGGACTGACAAAAGATAACGAGTGAATATTGTGAAAATTGGAAGCAACAGGTGTTAATTATTTCCGACGGCACAACGTGGGTTTGGAAACTTGTGGAACATATTTTAACGAAATTTCTACCAACTTTCAGTCTATTTCGGTGGCTTGCTTTATTAAATAAAGAAAGCCGAGGTACTTATATCTTACATGAAAAAGGATTGTGAAAATTGGAGTGAAAAGAATTAGGGTGAGATCTATTTTCTTGGCAATGCCTTTACTTCAATATATCTGTTGTTGACCACACAAATTGAAGTTTCAATACCTGTTTTACATTTTTATATTTCTCGAGCTACCTCAAATTTATTTAAAAAGTTTAAGCAATTAACATAATAAATCAAGGAATATCTTAGATATACTAAAATAAAAATTCCTTATTGTTATACATAAATTTATATTCAAAAAATGACGGAAGGATAAAATTTAAAACACTAGTACGATTATTTTATTTTAACATATTTATATAATTGAATTTATTCATAAAGTGTAATAAGTTGTTTGAATGAGAAGTTTTTAGTTCGAAACGATTTTTTTTATAAAGCAATAGATGTTTTATAACAATTTAAATTTAAACATATAAGAATAAATTTGATTACTTAAAATGATAGAACCACAAAATTTATATAAAAAGTAAGAATTTTAAAATTTTAAAATTCATCATTTTGAGATTGTTAGTTTTAATCATGAAAGTTATATATTCTTTTATACGGTGGTTGATTAATTATATTTTTTTTATTATTGTAAGTTAAGATTTAATGCAATTTTCTCAACAATAAACTTCTATTCAAAGTTTCCTTCTTGTTTTTATGACTTTTAATTGCTAAAGTGTTAGGTTTCTTGAGTAATGAACACAAAAAATCACAAAAGACGGTTGAAAAGACACACAAAGTCGTGAAGTTTGCCGTCAAAACTTCTACAAAATCCGACTCAAAGAAAGACAATTACGGAGATGATCAATCTGCAGAAAACTCTGACAATGAAGGACGAAATCTAATGGCAAAAAGGTTCTCAAAATTCTTAAGGTATAAAACAAAAGCTAACATAAATGTTGCAGGAAACAGAGAGTCTACTAGGAAGCAAGACAAATATGTTGTTTCCAACTATTTTGAACAAGAGAAAGAAGGACACATCAAATTGAAGCAAAAATTGGAAGAGGAAAGAAACAACATCAGTGAATCCAGCAAATCCAACAAGGATCTTAAAGATGAAACAAATCTCGACTTGATGGATAGACCTACATCATTTGGAAGCAGTGAAGATAACAAAGAAAAGGAACATATGTGGTATCTGGACAGCGGTTGTTTGAGGCACATGATCGGAGAGGCTAAACAATTCAGCAACTTATCTTCCAAAACCAATGGACATGTCACATATGGGGACAATAACAAGGGTAAAATCATTGGTGTTGGTAAAATACAAATTCCTTCCTCCTATAATATTGAAAATGTTTTACTTGTTGAGGGTCTTAAGCATACTTTGGTAAGTATTAGCCAACTGTGTGATAAAAGGTTAAAGGTCACTTTTGAATTAAATCACTATTTAATATGTCATGCATCATCACATGAGCTAGTAGGCAAGAGACATAACAACATATACATGGTTGATTTCAAAAATACTTCCTTCAAATCTGTCATATGCTTACACTAGTGCAATCAGGGGAAACGATAACGATTATTTTCGCCCTTTGGCAGCGGTTCTTGAACCGAGGCATATACAGGCGAGACAAAAAGTTTAGACTTTTATGCCTCGGTTCTTAACCGAGGCAAAGAGGTGGACGATTTCGCCTCGGTTCAAAGTCAACCGAAGCAGTATGTATTTTTTTTTATTTTTTTTTCGCAGGACTTTATGCCTCGGTTCCTTCTGAACCGAGGCAGTATGTCCACCTCTACTGCCTCGGTTGGGACCTGAACCGAGGTAGTAGGGTCTTTTTTTTTCGCCAGCCTTTATGTCTCGGTTGGGACCTGAACTGATACCGTATGTGGGTTTTCTGCCTCGGTTATGGCCACAACCGAGGCATATTCCCCTGTTTTTTTTATAAACAAGTATGTTTCTACAACATTCCCAACTGCAGAAATAGACCTGCATATAATTTTACAGACAAAACAGTTCAGAACAATCCAGAAGCATATATTTTGAATAAAAATTATATTAAAACATAAATACATTCAATGTAATCATAAATCAACTTCTTAAAACATAAATCAATCCAATGTAATCATAAATCAACTTTGAAACATAAATCAATCCAATGTACAAAGTTAAACTAATAATAATGTACAAAAGCATAAAACAACTTAGAAGCATAAAGTTAGAATTTACTATATCCTAATATCTACTACATACTATTATATAATTGAATTACATGTTTAGTCAGTGTTTTCCTCACGAGTTTAAGTGTCTTATCTGGACATCGTTTCATACACATGCGCTTAGACAAAAGCTTCTGCACCAACATCGTGGATCATGTCCTCTAAATTGTCTTCTTCCGATCGATCTTTCATATTCATGGTGGAATCATATAC